TGTACCATCATTTTTCAGTCTATATAAATGATTTTATTATTACATGTTACATAGTTGTTACAATAAAATGTATAGCTTAAATTGAAAGAGAAGAATATAATATATATATTTCAAAAAATAGTTGAAAGTAGATATTTATTTTTGAATACTTTGAACGTATTAAAAATTTGAGTTTCTTAAAATTAATATTAACCAAAATTTGCTCAGGAATAACAGATTATTGAACAAAATTATATCTAAAATTCTCTTTTTTTTGTTTTATCAAAGCTGGAATTAAAAATAACACTTTCTTCAGTTACCAGTTAATATTCATTAATAAGATAAAAAAATATGACTATCTGAAGTCGAAATAAATTTCTTGTACTTTAAATATATACCCTTGAATAAAATAAGCACATTTCACTTTCTCTCTCAACCAATAAACAATGGTCTCAACACACACACAAAACAAAATCAGGAAAAAAAATATATTAACATTTCACTTAAAACTGCTTAATTCAAAAATAACTAGTTAAAGTTATTATTAGTTATATTTGAATAAAGCAATTATATATATATATATGTATATATATATATATATATATATATATATATTATATATATATTATATATATGTATACATATTATATATATATACATACATATTATATATACATACATATTATATATTATATACATACATATTATATATATATATGTCATTTATTGACCGAGTGTAGTATTTTGTCGAGTGCTAGTAGATTTTCATTAAAAACATCTTCAGTGGAGGTTCATCTTTTTTTTTATTTTGAGCAAACTTCAAAATCTTAGGACAGAATTGCGGTGCATTTTCACGTTGACGAGACAAAAAAAATTGCAACGATTATACAGCAAAGCGGACAGGAGACAAGCAGCAGCTACATCTTGGAGGACACCTCACAAAGACACAGAGAGCAGTTTTTTACATTCTTACATGGTGAAGGCAAGCGGACAAAAAACGCGATTACACCAGATTTTTGCTTTTATATCAACAGTGGTGATTGCGTAATAATAGTTCAAATTGGTTAGAATGGGCGGGACAGGGATTTCGGACTAGCCGATTACGATTAAGATTGCAATGTTAATTTTAAACCAAAGAGTTAAAGTTATTTTAAATATTAGTACAAAGAGTTAATAAAAAGGATACTAGAGGGAATTATATATATATATATATATATATATATATATATATATATATATATATGTATTAAATATTAAAATTCCTTAGAATATATTCATAGTTTATTATTATAAACTTATCATTTTTCCTAGATATAGTTACCTCCATATTATAATATTAGATAAAGTTAATTACTATTGCCATTATTATTTTAATTCATATATAATTCTAGTGTCCCTAAAGTAATGGTGGTATGTAAATACCCTTTTTTTTATTTCTTTTTTCTATTCTTTTCATAGTTTTGTAAAGTGGTATCATTCTGTCATTCTGATTCTTTGACTTTGCATTTGGGTGCAGGATATGACAATTACTTGTTTAGTGTTCTGAAATTTAATACGGGCTCTGCATTTTTATAGCAATATTTAGGTAAGTTGTGATGTCCCTCCCCTTGGAAGTACATCTCTCGAAGCATCAGCGTGAGCTAGAGGTGTATGATTAGCGAAAGAACTAGGATCCAACATTATCCTAATATGACTTTATTAAGATATTCAACTTAAACCTTTAACAAATTCAATTATAATAATTAATATGAGAGAATTTACGATGACGCAATACGCAGCACACAATATATATATATATATATATATATATATATATATATATATATATATATATATATATTTAATAAGATCTAATCCAATTCTGACCAATATCAATAAGCGAACTGCCTAATCTTCGATTATAATATTAAATAAGCAATCCTACCTTATTACAGCTTGTAGTAGTAATTACTCTTGTCTTTATATGCGATGGGACGCAACTTTACTAATAACATTAATCCACGTCACGCAGAAATCATTCAATCTTGAAACACGAACTGTAGTAACTATCAACTGCCACAACTCACATCAATTGTCTAACATTCGTTTTCCATGCCCTCACTCTTACACTAAGATCCGATATTTAAAGCCCGTTTACTTGAATCGTTACTTCACATCTCATTTCTTGGATTTGGTTGGAAAAGAGTTGCCATTAATTCTGGCCCAAAGAAACCAAAGGACTTGTTAAAGAAAAGACGCGTGAGACGTCAAAAAGTTACCTTTATCTTATAATAGGTATTGATATTATATCCATTGTTTTCAATAGGCTTTTGTTCAGTATGATTAACATAAAGGGGGAAGGTTGGTTGCCCACAAAACATGTTGAACCCCCACTTTTATATTAATTATTTCATATATTAGAGCTTTTCTAAGTTTAAAATGTTTATAATACTGTAGCCTTCATGTTTTTATGTATCAAATCTACTTTATTTTTAATTTCTTCTAAAATCTTATGTCTGAAAAAGTTGCATTTATCTTTTTTTTTCAGTTTTGATTATTTGATTATTGAAGTTTCATCTCTCTTTAGAAGAGAACTTTGTAATAATATATATATATATATATATATATATATATATATATATATATACAGAGTGTATCATGTTTCTTTTAAAATATTTAGTCATCCTACTCAAGATTAGGAAGACCATCCAGGTACAAAAGAGTACCTGTTAAAATATTTTATTCAAATATTTTTTTACATATACTACAACGAAGGATAATTGCAGCTAATAAAATGAATAAAAATAATTATCAGCAAAAATGTGTATGCATTTTCAATAATTCAAGCACATTTATTGTTTGATCTTCAGTTTTGCAACTATTAATGCAGGAAGATTATTTTGTTAACTCCAGAGAAAAATGTAAATATAGTATTAAAAAATTTCAGATAGATTATGAGTTTTTAAATCAATTAAAATACTCATTAAAAATAGTTCTTTAAAAATATTAGTTATTCATTGATATTAAGTTATCGAATACACAATTGTTTTAGGAAATAGAAAAAAAATATGTTACAAATCACACACTCAAGTATATTTGGTTATTTTATAAAATTATTAAACAGATAATCAACAGAGCATCAGGCGTTATAGTGTAATTTTTATTTTTCCACTGCACATTTTTAAACACTTAAAAAGAAGTTAAACAAACTTATGAGATGTTTCTGCATGAAGAATAAGCCATCAGGAAACATTGGAGAAACCTCCTTCACTTCCATGAAGCAGTGACCTTAAAAATTAGTTCTTGATTGGATAAATGACGGTAACCAGAATGGAAGTAGCCACGTTCTTAATTATTAATGTCATCAATTTGACGAATGAATACGAATTATGGTGTATTACTTATAAATTTCATAATAAAGTCTGCACACAGAAAATTTCTTCCGTCAACAAAGAATATCCCAACCTTTTCTTTGTGTTTCCTCTGTGAAGAAATATTTACCCATGATGCAGTCTTGTGAAATAAGGTACTAAACTTATATACAGCATTAGCTTAGATATTTTTCTTTTTTTTCTTTTAAAATGGAAATAAATGACTATTCAAATATATTTTTAAAATTTTAATTTAGAATGTAAATCAAAAATTTTCACAGGTAGCACTTCGCATTCATATCGATTCTAGCAATATATGGTGGCCGCGGTAGCCGAGTGGTCGTGGCTGACCTTGTCACGAGTTTGAGTGCAGTAAAACTAAAGACCGGCCATATGTTGGGAAGTGATGCACGTTAAATATGTTGAGAAATCAAACGTCCTCCCATTGGTGTGGTGTGGTAGTTAGAAGAGGGGTTGTGAGCTCAGGTGTTATCCACGTCACTTGATCATGGTTCAAAATTACGTGGTCCGTCACAGAAAGCCCTCGTGTAGCTGAACAGTGCAACATTAATATTCCCTTACTCACTCTAGCGACATATGTAGGGTTTTCAAAAAGTAAGGCAACAATAAATCTGACGTGAGGGAAAATTTCGTTTATGAGTAAGGTTAATCAAAACGATCCCAGCATGTAAATAGTCCCAGTATATGAATTCGGTTCGGAATTAACACGAATAAATCTCAATTAGAAAATGACTGCAGTGATGAAAACATGGACTGCATTTCAAATAAGTATAATTGTACAGCTGGGTATAATCGTTAATTGGTAGAATTGCTCGAAATAACTGTTTTGTTATAAAAGAGGTTACGTTTTGGTTCACGGAATTGGACAAAAACAGAACAAATATGTGCAATGAAGAAATAGCATTTTTGGTGAGAAGTATTCGACCACCCTTCTTAAATTTCTAAACTTTTTTCTCCAGGTAATTTCCATCTCCTCTGACCTTCAAAGAAACACTGGGGATGTCACCTGTTTAGAATTCATGTTGTGGTTCAGCAGTTTAGAATTGCTGATTAGGTTCAGCAAGCCGTCATGACGTGGTTATACAACCTTAACACTAATTTTTACGACGTAGATTTCGATGGGTTGATGTACCGATAGAACAAATACTTCGATTACTATGGTGACTATGTAAAGGAGTAATAGGTACATGTACCTTCCTACATATATATATATATATATATATATATATATATATATATATATAAAAGTGAAGAAGTACTAGAATACTAGCACGATTTGCACGCTAAAAATAAAGTACATAGTGATAAAATAATAGAAGATTTAGAAGATTACATTTCAGTCAGTTCAGCTGCAGAATAATATCCCACAAATTTGATTTCTAGTACTTCTAAATATTAAATACTGATAGACTTAATGATAAATGTTATTGCTAAGAAGAATATTACAGGACTTTTTAAACAAAAACAGAGACTTGAGTTTATAAACTTATTCATATCCCTTCCAAACCATCTCTACCTCTACAGTAATAAATGGAATGATGAAACTAACTGTAGATGATCATCTGAACTTGAATTGGAAAACGTAATTAACACTTATTCAAAACACACATTTTCAAAATTCAAACATTAAAAAAAAATTCTCTTCCTTGAAGAGGGCACCCGGGATTGAACTGAGGACCTCTCGATCTGCAGTTGAATGCTCTACCACTGAGCTATATTCCCTCCCCCCCATGTCTGCGAAACTTTCGTTTGCGCTTATTTCTCACGTCACTACTAGTAGGGAGAGATTGTGCTTTGCCTACGGAGCTTCTCTGATGCATTTTTTAATACTTTTTTGTTATTAAACCAAACATACTTACAGGAAATTAAAATAAAAATAGCAAATTAATCTTTAAATTATGTTCAAAGTACATAACACATAAAATTAAATATTAGTTTACCCATTTAAAAAACAATTGCAAGTATATGATTATAGATGAATTTACTAAGAAAGCATTGCGATGAACATAAACACATTTATTTGATTGTAGCGAAGATATTAAATTTATAATAATTTTTGTCTAATCTAAGCCAAATCTTTCGAAAAATATATTTTAAATTTAAAGTTGTGAAAATATTGTTATGTATGAATTAGATTTTCGAATATGTATGCACTACATAAAATGTTATTGAATGAGTGAATAAATTTTAATGGCGCAAGGGCCAACTTTGGCCAAGTTGCGCCAAACACTAGTTAAAAGTAAAAGTCATATATTTAAATATAAGTATATGCACTCATGTATATGCATGCATACATACATACATATAGTATATTAAAAATCCACAGAAACACACAAATCAAATCAAATATCAAAATTCAATTTTTATAAGGAAGGCAAATAGATTTTGGTGGGGAGATTCCCCCACCCAGTCAGAAAAGGTTAAAACAGTTGCCTTAAAGAAGGTGATGTGATGGTTAAAAAGGGGACAATCTATTAAAATGTGATAAACAAATAATGGGACTTTACAAGAATGACATTCTGGGGCATTTTCACCCAACAAAAGGTGCGTGTGCGTAAAACGAGTATGACCAATGCGAGGTCGAGTCAAGCGGACATTATATCTTCGTACTGGTACTGCTGCCCAGTGAGAAGTGGAAGGATGAATGCTATGCAGTTTGTTTAGGATCTGTTGATCCCAAGTCTCTTGCCATATATGATGGAAATAGTGCTGTATGGAAGTTTTTAAGTCCTGGTAACAGACAGGTTGCTGCATGGAATCAGACATGGATCTTGCAGCGTTATCAGCCTGTTCATTACAAAGTATACCCACGTACCCAGGTACCCAGGAAAAAATTATATCAAAACCCTTCCTTCCTAATTTTCGCAGAAGAAGAAGTATTTCTATCACAGTGGGGTGTCTACGCTCTGTTAAAAAGTGTACGGACTCTAGAGCACTCATGCTGTCAGTGTACACACAAAAATGATGGTAGTTGGAAATTAATATATGCTGAAGTGCGACAGGAATGGCAGTTAATTCAGCACTAAAGACATATATAGAATTATGCAAGCTAAAACTTAGAGTGGTATTGTTAAAAAGAACACCATATATACCTAACATGTCCTGCAGTCTTCGACCCGTCCGTGTAGACTGGTATGTACTTAGAATACTTATTACGATGGAAAGAAAAGAGCTTCTGATCAATAACATCTGCAGTGCCTGCTTTGTCATAGCCTAAAAAAGGGTTTCTATAATTAAAAATTTGGATGTCCCAGGGTGGGAAAGCAAGGGTAGTATTCTCCTGGATATTTATGTTACGTAAGAAGGCGTCATTTAGAACAGCCTTTGCTCTTTCCGAAAAAAGGCTTGATGTTAAATGAACGGGCTTCAGAGAGCCGGGTGAGACCAATGGCAAGAGAAAAGGGTTTTAATGGATGATAAGGAGCAGACATGGCACGAATAAAATAATTTGCATTTAATTGCCTCCGCCTTAGTTCTAAAGGTGGTTGATGGCACACAACATACAAGCTGGTAACAGGCGAAGTTCTGAAGGCACCAGACAGAGAGAGAGAGCAGATTCTCAGAGCAGAATGATGTATTGTGTCCAAGCATTTTAAGACAGATGCACGATTAGAATCATACACTACACAACCATGGTCTAAACATGAGAGGATTAGTGCTTGATATACTCGGAGTAACGAAATTCTATCGGTTCCCCATAAGGTGTTTGACAGCACTTTTAAGATGTTGAGGGATCCTTCACACTTCTTACGCAAGTAAAGGACATGCGGAAGGAAAGTCAATTTACAGTCAAAGATTACTCCGAGGAAGCGCACCTCACTGACTACAGGTATTTGAATATTTCCTATATGAAAAAAAAAATGATCTGGGTGTAGGTTACGTTTTAAAAAAAAACGGACAAAACTGCTCTTGGAAGGAGAGATCGTGTGTCCATTCTGATCGCACCACTTAACTAATCGATTGACAGTTGTTTGTAGCTGTCACTCAATTAGTCGCATATCTGAACCTTGACAAGAGACTTGCAGATCATCAACATAAAGCATTCTTCGCACTGAAGGTGGAAGGTGATTAAGTATGCTACTCATACGAATATTAAAACGTGTAACGCTCAAATGCTGCCCTGAGGGATACCTTAATCTTGTATGAATTTAGGAGAAAATGAGTGACCAATGCGTACATAAAAATAACGAACAGCTAAAAAGTTTTAAAAAAATTTGGAAGATTTCCCCTTAAGCCAAAATCATGCATATTACGGAGATTCCCATAGCGCCATGTTCGGTCGTATGCTTTCTCTATGTCAAAGAAAAATAAAACCAATTGGTGTCTCCTAAAAAAGACATCCCTGATTTGGGATTCTACAAATACAAGATTATCAAGAGTGCATCGGCCCTTGCGAAATACACTCTGCAGATGAGAAATACACTTTTCTTTCTCCAAAACATATACCAAACGAATATTTATCATACGTTCAAAGGTCCTGTAGAAGCAGCTCGTTAGAGCAATGGGATGGTAACTCAGAAGATATGTTGCCCCCTTGCCCGGCTTAAGGATTGGAATCACAATAGCTTCTCTCCAGCTGGAGGGAAAGCAATGCTCCTTCCAAACTCTGTTGAATAAAAAAAGAATGTTGGTTAGAGTTAGGATTTAGATGACGTAGCATCGTGTAAGTTATTCCATTTGGTCCAACCTTATATTGTGCGCTTGTAAGAGTGCCTTTTTTAACTCAGTCATCGTAACATCAAAAATATATGGAAAAAAAGGAACGAGTGGAAAAGTTAATTGGGGTACGTTCTACTCACCTCTTAATCTCGAGAAAACGGGAATTTTAAGAGGCTGTACTCGATACACTCTGAAAAGTTTCACCCAGAGTATTAACTATTTCGTCTGGGGAAGAAAGGACAGAGACTGAGGTTTGTTAAATAGGGAAGGAAAATTCCCGATGTATCCCGTTTGCTGTCTTAATCTTTATCCATAATTGTTTACTGGACGTTGACGAGGTGAGTGAGGACACATATCGAATCCGGGATTACCTCTGACTCTGACGCCTTACTCTGCGAGCATTTGCTTTTGCCTTTTTGAATGCCAAGAAATTCTCCGTAGTGGGACATCTACGAAAGATTCCTCATAACTTCCATTGGTTCTTGTACGCTGTCTGACCATTCCACCAAGGTTTGTAACGTTGGAATGAATGACTTGAATTATTCGGTATTGATAAATCAGCAGCAGCAATCAAACATTGTTGACTTCTTGTATAGCAGTATAAATACTATCTCCCTTGACCATTGCATCAGATATCACAGCCAAATGTGTGAAAGGGGCCCAGTCTGCACGATAATAAGAAAACGTAGGTGGAAAGGTTTTTCCTCTCGCATCATAATTGTGAGAAAGGACAACAGGGAAGTGGTCGCTATTATATAGGTCCTTCTCAACAGACAAATTTAAAGTAAGTAAGAGTGATGGTGAGCAGATGGCCATATCTAATGTATAAAAGGACCGTGTGGTTTCGTAAAAGTACGTTGGTTCCTTGTGATTGAGCAGGCAGAGACAGTGATCAGAAAGAATAGGGTGTTTTTTTTATTCGAAAGATAATCTTGTGGCATTACATTTTAAATATGATTTCTGGCATAGGACAGCCACGGCTGGCTCGGATGTAGTCCAATCTGGACGTCCAATTTTCGATGACATTTTCCAACATTTGTGGCCGTATATCGGGAATAACACGACGAATTTTGTCTTCCAAATGGTCAGGCGTTTGTGGCGTATCCGCATAGACCAATGACTTTATATAGCCCCACAGAAAATAGTCTAGCGGTGTTAAATCACAAGATTTTGGAGGCCAATTCACAGGTCCAAAACGTGAAATTAGGCGGTCACCAAACGTGTCTTTCAATAAATTGATTGTGGCACGAGATGTGTGACATGTTGTACCTTTTTGTTGGACCACAGCTCCTGGACATCATGATTGTTCAATTCAGGAATGAAAAAGTTAGTAATCATGGCTCTATACCGATCACCATTGAGTGTAACGTTGTGGCCTTCATCATTTTTGAAGAAGTACGGACCCATGATTCCACCAGCCCATAAAGCGCATGAAACAGTCAGTGTTTCTGGATGTAACGGTGTTTCGACACACACTTGTGGATTAGCTTCACTCCAAATGCGGCAGTTTTGTTTGTTGTCGTAGCCATTCAACCAGAAGTGCGCTTCATCACTAAAGAAAATTCGCTTATGAAGTCATCGAAAATTGGACGTCCAGATTGGACTACATCCGATCCAGCCGTTGCAGTCATATGCCACAGATCATATTTAAGATGTAATGCCACAAGATTATCTTTCGAATAAAAAAAATCATGTCAAACGAACAATACATCGTTGTTTTATTGCAATTTAAACTTCTATACCTCTAAAAAAAAACACCATTTACCTTTTCGATCTGTCTCTCACGATGGCTTGTCTTCACACTACCTCACAAAGTGTTATGTCCATTAAAGTCACCAAGTATGCTAAAGGGTGCTGGTAATTGACCAACCAGGTTGTTCAAGTTATGTTGGTGGATAACACTATTTGGTGGCAAGTAAAGACAACAGACTGTGATAAGGCTTGTGTAGTGAATTCTCACGGCTACAGCTTGCAACGAGGTACGCAGTGGAAGAGCACTAGAAGGAACATCGAGGGATGTAAAAATACATACGCCTCCAGACGCAGAGGATCCCTCCGTTTCT